GCCATCTTGCTATGTGTAAATGGTATCAGTGACAATGGCAGCCAGTGTGGTTTATATGTGGCCTCTCCCCCAAAGTCTGTGTGCTAGGAACATGGTTCCCAACACAACAGTGCTGGAAGGAGGTGGGAGTTGGGGTGATGAGGTCATGGGGCATTGCCCTCACACATAGATTGATATGTTTTTTAAGAGACCAGATTGGTTACTGCAAGAGTGAGCTGTCATAAAGGGAGGCCAACTCCCTGGCCTCTAGTGCAGATGTTCCTCCGCATGCATCCCTGGTGCTTTTCCTCTGTAGGCTGGCACAGTCTTGGCTCTTCAGCAGAAGCCCACAGATGCCCTTGGGTTTACAGAGCTGTGAACGGAACAAACTTTTTTTTTAAAGACTTATTTATTTTTATTGCAAAGTCAGATATATAGAGAGAAGAGGAGAGACAGAGAGTAAGATCTTTCATCTGATGATGCACTCCCCAAGTGATCACAACGACCAGAGCTATGCCAATCTGAAGCCAGGAGCAAGGAGCTCTTCTAGGTCTCCCACACATGTGCAGGGTCCCAAGGCTTTGGGCTGTCCTCCACTGCTTTCCCAGGCCACAAGAAGGGAGCTGGATGGGAAGTCGAGCTGCCGGGATTAGAACTGGCATTCATATAGGATCTTGACACATTCAAGGTGAAGATTTTAGCTGCTAGACCACGGCACTGGGCCCTGAACAAACTTCTTAACAGCAATGGAAAATGGACTAAGACAACAAGTGAAGAAAAAAAAAGAACTTACAGTTAAGGAGGAAGCCAGAGTTCTCCATGCTGACTGGCAGTGAGGCATGGGAGTGGCATCAGCAGCACCAGGACATGAGTGAGGGTGGGGTGGGAGAACGAGGACACTCCACAGCTGAGGCAACGGGATGAAGAGGGCCAGAGAAGGGCAGAATCCTTTACAGGCAGTGAGAAGGGTTAATGCCCCGAACACGGGAGGAACTCGTAAAGCTCAGTCTCTCTCTTTCTCCCTCTCTCCCTCTCTCTTTCTCACACACACACCCCAGTCAGAAATGGGCAAAGGACCCAGATAGTTATTTTTCCAAAGAAGACCTACAAATGGAGAACAAGAATATGAAAATGTGCTCAATAGCATCCATCATCAGTGGAATGCAAATAAAAACCACAATGGCCTGTCAGGATGGCCACTGCCAAAAAACCAAAAGATAACAAAAGTTGGTGAGGATGTGGAGAGGAGACCCTTCTACACTGCTGGTGAGACAGCCAATATGGAAAACCACTGTAGATTTCTCCTATAAGTAAGTAAATAAAAATAGAACCATCATATGACCCAGCATTTTCCTTCTGGATGTACATTTCAAGGAAATAAAATCAGGGTCTCTGAGAAGCGTCCGTAATTCCATGTTCATCACAGCTTATTCACAACTGCCAAGATCTGCACCCAACCTTAGTGTCTGTGGATGGATGAGAGAAATCGCTGAAGTATCACACTGCACCCCATGCATAGGGACACTTACAGATCACAAATACAGGGTTTTGGAGGCTATTTGAGAAGATGGAAATGCTAATTCAGCTGCTTTGCCCATCACATACTGAAGACATGTATTCTCAATCAAATGATCTTTAGAAAAGAAATGGAGGACTCAGGAAAACAAACGGAGAAAGAAGCCTCCTCATTTGGCACAGAGAAGCAAGCCTGGGACAGCCAAGTTGGGGGGATGTCTGCTGGGGACACTGAACTAGGACAGCAAGGAGGCTGCCACACTGGTGGCCATATCATCACATCTGAAGCATCTAAGTCCTCCTAGGAGTGAGCATGTGGAAGTGGAGGGCGATAGACACATGTGGACACTTACAGTGCTGACTGCCATCACTCCTGTTACCCTGGCTCCATCTGTGAGCTGGGCCGGTCCTTGACAACTGCGTTCCCCAGGTCAGCAAAACCTGTGTTCCATCACAGAAACCGACTTGCTGTTAGCAAGGGGTGGAAGGGAGGTTCCTTTATTGCTTTCTTGAGGGCAGTGTGGTTGATCCCATTCTAGCTTCCACAGTACATAAGTCACTTTCCTCCATGAGTGTCCTAGGAGTCTTACTGGAGTCCAGCAAAGAAGCAAGTATTGGCCTTCTGACCTTTTTTCTTCAATTTAAAATCCAACTGCAGGGGCGTAATGTTGTGGGACAGTGGATGGAACTGCTGCTTGTGAAGCTTGCAGCCAAGTGCTGGTTCCCATCCCCGCTCAGTCTCTCAGGCTGCTAGAGCCTAGCTCTTGAGGAACAGGGTTTTTCAAGAGGGCTATGGAAGAAGCCTACGTCCTACCAGCCCAGCATGGCCGCTTCTCACGGCCACGGTCATGTGCAGAGGAGACAAGACATGCTGTTTCATTAAGTATTACAGAAATCATAGTGGGGATTCAGCATTGAGCTTAACAGGCCATGGCTTTCACTTCCAGGCCAAATAAACGATTCTATCTTTTCTGTCACCAAGCCTTTAAAAAAACAATTTATTTTAGGGCCTGGCAAAGTGGCCTAGTGGCTAAAATCCTCACCTTTAATGCACTGGGAACCCATATGGTCCCAGTTCTAGTCCCGGCAGCTCCACTTCCCACCCAGCTCCCTGTCTGTGGCCTGGGAAAGCAGTCGAGGATGGCCCAAGGTCTTGGGACCCTGCACCCGTGTGGGAGACCTGGAGGAGGTTCCTGGTTCCTGGCTTCGGATCAGCATAGCACCAGCCATTGTGGTCACTTGGGAAGTGAATCAATGGACAGATCATCTTCCTCTCTGTCTCTCCTTTCTGTAAATATGACTTTGCAATAAAAATAAAATAAATTAAAAAAATTTATTTTAGCTTCTCCCTTTACCTCCCCCTTTACTGCATATACAGGAAAAAAATGTGGAAATAATAGTCTTACCCACTTTTCTGTAGCCCTTGAACCTTTGTGCTCTAACTACATAAACATTGTCAAAAATAAAAGAAAAAACGGAAAAAAAATTATTTTACTCTTATTTACTTTATTTTACTCTTTTTACTTTATTTTTATATTATACGATGGCTACCGCAGTAACCAGAGAAGGGCGGAGTTTGCCTCCAACCAAACCCAGAATGGATGGCAGAATTCTGGCGGGCCCCTCAGGCTGTGAGACCACTGTTGCACCAATGAGGGGCACAAAGCCATATCCCCCCACCAATAGGGGTCAAGGTGCCCCCCAATTGGCTTCCGTGTCAAAGAGAATTTAAAAAGCCCCTTCCTTGTCTCTTCCGTGCTCTTCTTCCTCTGCAGCCCATTCCTTAATGTCTGTCTGCTGCACGGGAAGGGAAGCCCGTGACCGTGGTTCCCTGAAATAAAGGCCATCTAAATTCTTTTCATATATTCGGCTGAGTTATTCTTTCCCTGGTGGTCAGCGAATCTAACATTTTGGCAAGCAGTGAATCTGACATTATATTTTATTGATACTATTTACATTTATTTGTATTCATTTGATTATTTTTATCTTAGTTACTTCATTTTTAAGTTTTATAGTGCTTTAATTTTATATTCCATCTTTTAATTTTTGCATTATATTTTACATTTTTACTTTTTGTTTTTTAAAGATTAATTTATGTGTTGGAAAGTCAGATATACAGAGAGGAGGAGAGACAGAGAAGAAGATCTTCCATCCAATGATTCACTCCCCAAGTGACCACAACAGCGGGATAGAACCGGCACCCATATGGGATCCCCGCACGTTCAAGCCAGGACCCTAGCCACTAGGCCACGCCGCCGGGCCCACTACATTATATTTTTAAAGGCACTCTTAGGAGACAGTTAGGAGCAGCGCAGACCAGCCCAGGTACTCAGTCTAAGCACCGCTGGTGAAATAGTGCCATTCTCCTTCCTTCACAGACTTCCCAGAGGCCCTCAGTGGTCTGAAGTTTCTGATGCCCTCTGGGGACTGTATCTTCAGTCTATTTATAAGGTGGCTCCGCTGCAGCCATTTCCACAGGGATCTTGGGCTCTACCTTTCAGAGATTTACGCCTGCAGCAAATGTTCATGGACGTCAATGGAGCCACCTGGGTCACCATGGGTGGCATGCCTTGAAGCTGGCACTACTCCCCTCTAACCAGTGATGAGGCCATCTTTCAAAAAGCACAGAGCACTAACTGCGGCCAGAAACTATCTTCACAGCTCCTCACACATGAACCCACTTAATCCCAATAACCTAAAAGGGGGAATAGCATTGCTTCCCATTTCACAGATGGGAAAACTGAGGTACACAGAGGGGAAAGTTACACGGTTCTTAGACCGTGGACCAGGGACGCCCACTCACACACTCTGTGGTCTTGCGGTCCACGTTCCTCATCATGACATTCCGAAACGCTCAAGTCCAAGACAGCTACTTGGCTGACCCTGAAGTGGACCTCCCGGCCTGGAATGGAGAATGGAAACTGAGGGCAAAGGTATTCCTTGATTATGATCCTGCTCTTCTACTCCAGCAGGATGGGCTGGAGTCCGGAGAGCTAACTGATGGAGCCGGAGTAAGAGGGGTTGCGGGTTTAAGGTCAAATTTTTTGAATCGAAGGAGTTTCCCTCCAATTCTGTAGCAGCCCCTTGGTGACGAATCTGCTGCCTATCTCACGAGTATTGCTATCACCCGATTTTCCAGGGTACCCAAGCAGGCGAGACGAAATACCGTGACAGTAATCCTGAGCGACGTCGGATCCTCTACCAATCTTTTTTCCTAGTCATTCTGAAGAAAACCCCGAGACGAATCTGCAACTCCGGACTGGCAGCCAGGGGGCGGGCTGAACAGCCACCATTTTTGTTTTGCGGCCGTGCGCTCTCAGAGCATCTTGACTACCAGGACCCCCACGGGGGAGGTGGAGCCTATCAGAGCGCGGGGCGGGGTCTCAGCGACGTGATGATTCAAACGGACTAATGATCTGCGCGCATCTGGCATAAGTCGCCAATGAGCGGGCGTGTCTGGGCGGAGCGCCCAAACCCCACTGGGTTTGGTTGTCCGGTGGCTTTGGCGCATTTTCGGCTGGTTTGATTCATCCATTTTGAAGAGACGGGGGAACGGGGGGTTCGTCGGATCCAGAGCCCCAGACTCCAGGAGCAGCGGAGTTTTTGAGAAGCCGGCAGCTCGGGGTTCGGCGGCAGCGGTCGCAGCGGCCGAAGCTCGGGGGGGGTGGGGCGCCGAGCGCGCGGGGTGGGGGGGGTCCCGGGCTTTGGCTTCTCGACTCGGTCCCGTTTCGACAGCGAACATGTCTCGGCCTGTCAGGTCAGTGCGGAGTCCGAGGCCTGGAGCGGGGTGGCGGGGGCTGGGGTGGTGGCGGGGTGGCGGGGGGGGAAGGAACGGCGCCCGGAGTGGGCCCTCCCCGGAGCCACGCGCGGCGGCCTCCGCCCTGGGTCGGGGCCCGCGCGCGCCCTGGAGCGTGGGGGGCCTCGCGGGGCGCGCGGCGCGCGGGGCTGCGCGGGGGCGGCGGCGTGCCCGTGCGCGCGCCCTGCCCGCCCCGAGCCGCCGCCGCCGAGGCAGCCTCCCCCACCCGGCGCCCTGGAGCGGGCGGGGTGTCCCCGAACCCGCCCTGGGCCCGAGGGGGAGGCCGTGTGGAGTCGGCGCCCCGACGCAGGCCTGGAGCTCGGTGCGGACGGGACGCTCCTCATCCCGCGCGTCTTGCCCCCCTTTCCCGCACGTCGGACGGTCGTGGGGGCGCCGAGGGTCCCCCCCGAGGCGGGATAGGGGGTGTTGCCCTTGCAGCGGGCGGGGCGTTGGCCCCGCCTCCGGGGCCGGGCGTGGGCGGGACCCGCTTTTTTTCTCTCCCACCCCCCCTTTGGGCCAGAGTTCGGGACTGGACCCCACAAATAAGAGCCTGCGACTTTCCCCCCCACCTCTGAGTTGGGAGAGAGGGAACCCCTAAAGTTGGCTCTTTGGTCCCCGGCTGGAAGTGGCCTGGCGCGGGGACATGGCCCAGGGAGGTGCGGGTTAACGGCGCGACCTAAATCCCGTGAGGTTCTCGTTCCACGCGTACACGTCGCCCGCTATTTTTGTCACCCCGTCCTTCCCCCTCTGCGAGCGACTTTAACGATCCTGGGGCTTCGAGCACTAAACGCTCGGACTCGTCTCTGGATTCCGACGGGTTGGCGCGGCCCCCGCGGCCATGGACGCGCCCAGCGCAGCCCGGGGCCGCGGGGTGGAATGCGCCCGTTCGCGGGGGTGTGGCCTCGGCGCCGGCACGCGGGCTCGGCCAGCACGGGCCGCTTTGAATGGACGGCGCTGGGCGCTCCGCGGAGTATTTTCTAAAGAGCTACAAGGTTTCTTTCGACACTAGTTGAACAGTTGTCGCTTCCCTGTCGTCATTCCAAGTGTTGTGGAAATGGAAGTTCCTTAGGAGTTTGGGAGCCCGGGAAGTTTTAGTCCTCACGGTTCTGTCCCCTGACTGTCGTGCAAGGTGGCGGCGGTGGTTTGCGACTTGAAAAGCTGCGCTGGGGTGGGGTAAGGGGAGAGAGCCGGCTCCTCCTGCCTTTCTCCAGCCCCTTGGATAACTTGGCCATCTCCCGAGAAAGGTGTCGTTGGCAACGGCATGCCTGTCTCCTGTTAGGGTGTACACTCGCTCGTGGCACTGAGAACGCACAATTGTATCCAGTCGTTTTCTTTAGGGTCGGTAAAAATGACTCTTGCAATAAAGATTTCTTTTCTCTGGATTGGCTGTTTGGTCTCCTGGGAGCAATTACTGTATGGGGAAATTGTTTTTCTCTACCTTTGGGACTCAAGTTTTGACTTATTTTACTGTAGTGACTTTCTTATTTTCGTTATTCATTTATGTTCCCAGGTTGAGACTGGAACATGGACAGAACTTTTTGCTGTAAAACGTGGATTTTAAAAGGCAAATAATGTGGAAGAATCTTTTAATAAATAAATGCTAGCCATTTTTTGGAGACAGTAGGGTTTCTGCACAATTTTAAAAATGTTAATTTTAACCTTGTTTGTTGCCTCTAATTGAAGGATGAAGTTAATTTCAGTGCAACTTGGTTCCTGATTATATTTTAGTGATGATGAAGTTTCTGTAACTAATTTTTTAGTCTTTTTTATATACTCGTGACCAATAATAAAATCAGAAATGATTAAACTTGAGTTTGGTGTTTTGTTAAATTTTGCAATAAAAAGACCTGGCTCCTTAGGAAAACGGTGTTTCAGAGTGGAATTGAAGAGTCTGTGTTACCAAGAGGGTTTTAACACCCAAAAAAAAGACATTGGCTTGATTTTTGGAATAATGAGCTTGTTTGTTTAATGTCTGTATGAAAGGTAGAGAGCTCTTCCATCCGCTGGTTCACTCCCCTTGTGCTCCCAACAGCTGGATTTCGGCCAGACCTCAGCCCAGAGCCTGGAACTCCCACGTGGGTGGCAGGGATCCAGGAGTTTGTGCCGTCATCCACTGCCTGCAGGTGCTTGAGAGGAAAGCTGGATTGGAAGCCAAGTAATCAGGACTTAAGCAGGCCCTCCAGCGCAACACGTAGGCCTCCCAGGCAGCAGCTTAGCTTGCTGTGCCACAGCCCCGCTGATCAGTTTTTCAGGAACAAATATGTTGGAAAATGCCAGTGTTGCGGCAGTAGTTCTAAGGTATTTTTCTGTTCTTAGACCTGTATATAGTTTTTCAGTTTCACTGATATCCAATTTTACCATAAATATTTATTTTTGTGTTACAAGGAATTTGAAAATTCAAAGGGTGTTTTTGAAATGTACTAATGATACCTGCAGACCAAGCTCCAGGTGAATCCTGTGATGGAGCAGTTGGTTGCAGCGCAGTTTCCCCTAGCCCTGGGCCTAGCATGTTAGTTACTTCATTAATTTCTTAGTAAGGCAGACTCACAGAGAAGAGACAGAGAAAGGTCTTCCATCCGCTGATTTGCTCCCCAAATGGCCACAGATGGCTGTGGCCAGGAGCCGCCTTTGGGTCTGCCACACAAGCACAGGGACCTGGATGGGAAGTGGAGCAGCCAGGACACAAACTGGTACCAATATGGGATCCTGGCCCTTGCGAGGGGAGAATTAACCTATTGAGCCGCTGTACTGGGCCCTAGCATGTTGTTTTTTTTTCCTAGCATGTTCTTCTTAAGTAACTGTCTTTAGCTTTTATAGTTCCTGACTTATGAGAGCTGAAATACCTTAGGCCTTGGATTCAAATTAATAGTATAAAATTATAGTCTTGGAGCTAGAGGAAATTTAGGCAGACTTGCTTCACAGAAGACTTAATAGGGGCCTGGGTATGAGAAGTGCCTTGCATCACACAGTACCAAGTATACCACGATTGGGTCTAAACTAGAGGAGTTTGTTTAAAGATTTATTTTTATTTGAAAGGCAGATTTTAGAGGGAAGAGATGGTAGAACAGGTCTTTCATCCTCTGGCTAACTCCCCAACTGGCCACAATGCCAGAGCTGACCCAATCAGGAGCTTCTTGTAGATCTCACACATGGGTGCAGGGTCCCAAGTACTTGAGTCATCCTCCACTACCTTCCCAGGCCTAAAACAGGGAGCTGGATCGGAAGTGAGGCAGTCAGAGCACAAACCATCGCCCATATTGGATACTGGGGTCACAGGGCAAAGATTAGCACGCTGCACCACTGTACTGGGCCCTTAGATTTCTTATTCCAGTCCTCGTCCTATTCTCCCAACTCATAACCCTTTACTTTCTGTCTGGGAAGTATTTTCAGGGTTGAACAAATCGCACACAGTGTGGCATTTCTACCTTGTCAGAATTTGCTCAGACCTCAGGAAAGGAAGCAAGCCTGGGGAACTGACTGGCTTGCCCAAACTAACTAGAAACCAGTTTTCTTGGAATCTCACCTGGTGTAGTCAGATCCTTTCCCTTACTTGGAGCGATCCAAGTCACATCCATCTAGCGCTCCTCTTCTTCGTACCTTGCAGGTGCTTGGTAGCTTGTTTTTCGTGTAATACTTGAGACTGCAAGGAACTTGTGCTGTTGAAAGGAGGGTGATGGGAGATTAGACATGTTTTTGTGAGAATAAACAGCTTTCCGAAGAGTCCACATTGCTTTCTTTCAAATAACTGTATGCTGTTGTCTCTAGACTAAAACTTAACTACCGAACACTTTCAAAAGTCAACAGTTAAAGGGCAAAGTCAGAAACCCCTGGGCATTCAGGGTAGTGCAAGGAGACATGCTTAGTTTCCTAGGAAATAGAGTTATGGCTCAGCCTGGCTCCTTTATATTTCTTAAATTTTCAGTACATTTTAATATTTACATGTCAAGTTCCTCTAGAAAGAATCCCTTTTGTGGACTTGGCCTTCAAAGACATGCTACCAAAGATAACACGCAGTAATTTATAAAGTGAATAATGGCAGGGAGTTGATTTTGTGAAAACCTTAAAGCATTCACCTTTTGTTGACCTTCATGTAATTAGCTATGCTAAATAGAGTGCTTAAAACGCAGTTTTCAGAGTAGCATACCAAACATCTTTAAAGAAAATTCAGTGAATTTGTGAAATTCTATGTTTGGGACTTTTTTTTTTTTTTACATCTGTATAACATTTAAAAATGGAGCTTAAAGAATATGTTTAGAAGTTATACACATAAAAGGTGTGAACCGGATTTCCCGAGTGCAAAGCTAGCCTTCGTTCACAGTGCCATGCTTGCTTAATCTTTGGCATGAAGATGGCTAAGTGTTTGCTCATTTAGCAGTTTATACAGTGGCGAGTACATTCTTTATGTACATGTTTCTATGGAAAATATCTTAGAACACCCAGACCAAAAGGTTTCCTGAGCACTTTTGTCCAATGTTTAAAGTCATTGGAGATAACTTTTTAAAAATGATTTATTTTTTATTGGAATGTCAGATATACAGCGAGGAAAAGAGACATAGAAGAAGATCCTCTGTTGATTCATTCCCTAAGCGGCCGCAACGGCCAGAGCTGAGGCAAGTCAGGAGCCTGGAGCTTCTGTGACTCCCACTCCACGGCAGGTAACATGTTGGGCAGCGAGGCTGCCAATATTAGAACCAGCACCCATATGGGATCCCGGCGCATTCAAGTAGCCAGCGAATCCCGGTAGCCACTAGGCTACCACACCAGGCCCAAAGATAACTTTTTAAATGGAAAGTATTACATAAAGGGCCCAGTGCTATGGCCTACTAGCAAAATCCTCGCCTTATACAGGATCCCACGTAGGTGGTCGGTTCATGTCCCAGCTGCTTCATTTCCCATTCAGCTCCCTGCTTGTGGCTTCTGAGGGCAGCAGAGGATGGCCCAAAGCTTTTGGACCCTGGCTA